ATTAGAAAAAGTTTAGTTCCAACAAGCAGTTAAGGGGGTGTAACCCTCAATTCATGCTTTTACTCTTTATTGATTAAAGATTTAGAGGAAACTTAACAAAATTCATTCAATGAGGGATTTTTCAATAACTGGCCTCCTAGAGCGCCAAAACAAGGTCCCCTATATAAGTTCTTTATTTTTTTAAACAACACCATCCTTTCTAATCCTAAGTCAATCCAACATGTTTTAATGTTTGTAACATTCTCGGCATTAACACCTCAACATACATCATTTGTATACATTACCTTTGGTTAATGCATATAGAGATCACGTCATACCAATCAAATATAGCATATTAATGCTTAACAACTCATCAAACTATAGCATATCAATGCTTAACTATTCATCCAAGTATAACGTACCAATGCTTAACATTTTATTCAATAATAGCATACCAATGTTTATTCAACACTCCAACCATGCAATTTATATCATATTAATCATACATAGCATATCAATGTTCATCACCATTTCAACTACACAAATATAACATACCAATACTTATTATCATCATCATATATCATACAACAAGCAATATACACAAGTATTCTATTCATGTTCACCAAATTCACCCATCATACAACATGTATCAACATACAACTTATCAAAATAAATTATCGTACAATGACAACTTTCACATAAAATACCACATAGAGCTATAATAAGCCTAACAAGCTCATCCTTGTCTCATATGAAAAGACAATAAGATTATCTACAACTCTTATGAATACCTCAAACATTAATTTTATCATCTACTATACTAAAAATTATAAAATTTGTATCATTTTTTTACTAATCTTGGTAGCTTGACCTTTGCTTACTAAAAAAGTCATAACTCGAGTCTGCAACCTATTTTTTAGGTGATTCCAAAATCATTGAAAAGCTAACATCTAAGGCTACAACTTTCATGCGAACCTCATCAACTATTTTGATTCATACAGGAGCTATCGAGTCAATCACAGTGGTGACAATTTTGTCATTCTCGTGAGAGCTATGTTTTGCTATTACTCATGTTTTTCGACTTTGGCTTGCAAGGATCACGACTGTGAACATTAAGTCATGCTTGTAACCAATGTTGTTCTCAAATTTAGAACATTTTCCAACCTCAGACCATGCTAATCATGACCGTGACCATCGTGTCACGTCTATGATGATCGCCAAACATGAAATTATAAACATGAATCCCTCAACAACTTCTCTAATGAGTTTCAAACCACCCTAAACTCATACATGAACTCCAAAATCAAATCAAAACCATCAAACTCATGCATCCCATCAAAATTATTCTTAACATCATATACAACATGAAAACCAACTCAAATGCCACATGCATGTATTTAACCACAAGATACCAACAACTTTAGATTTTGTGTTCACCTTCCCTGGAAACCCCAACTTCACAACATATAATTCATTTAAATCCAAAAAATCAGTCACACAATTACATGTTTGACGATGATCCAACCACGTGCAATTCAAAATATAATAACAATTAAAGTTCTAAATTCCCTTACCTTGACTCCAAGCCAACTGAGAATGAAGAAAAGGAAGGCTCAAACTCCGAACAACAAAATCTTTGCACCAACTCACTATGATTCTCAACTTCAAGCTTCAAATCCATAGTACAACAATGATCCTCATGCACTAGAGAAATATAGGAAGAAGAATGAAAGATGAAGGTTTTTAGGAACCAAAGTTGTACCACCACCACTCTCAATACTTACAAAAATACTAAACCCCCACAATGTAGTATTATAAATTTTTCATCTTTAAGTGAAATAAATTCATTGTCACATATATTTAGTGAGTGATTTATTTTGATGACAGGAAACATAAAAGATTTCAATGTAAAAAATAAGGTTACAATAAAACAAGAAACAAAACTTGTAATAAATGGTTCTCATATAATTATTACGTCTATTTAGTTAAGTTAATTAACTCTGCCATTTATTAAAAAAAAAACTCATAAAAGATAACTTTAAAAAATGTATATTTCCATATATTTCTTGTGGTATCTTTCAAACATAATTATTACATCTGTTTAGTTAAGTTAATTAATTTTGCACCACAACACATTTATTTAAAAAAAAAAACTCATGAAGGACACATTTTAAAAAATGTATATTTCCATATATTTCTTGCAGTGTCCTCCAAGTGAGTACTCACTAGGGACAATCTTATACATGACGGTTTCTTATGAAGACAACTAATATTCTTGCACCACACTTTTGTAGTAGGATTGGGCAATAAATATTTCTTTGTGGTTTGACAAATGGCTCTCAGATGGCCTTATTTCTTAACATGTAGACCATGTCCACCTGCATGATGTTCACATGCGAGTAAGAGATATTTATAAGAATGTTGCTTGGGACTAGGATCAAGTGTTTACACAAATGTCCCGTTTACTATTGAACAAAACGTAAGCAGTCTTTTGTTGAATTCATCTTCTAATGATGTAATCATTAGGAGCTCTTGACATTAGGTTGTTGTTCAACCAAAACTGCTTATCGATGATTGTTTATAGGGTGTGCCATTTAGAGTTGAACATTTGAAAATGCCTCTTGGATTTAGACTTTAAAAGTTCTTGAAAATATCAGGCACTTCCTTTTTTTGTGTTACATATAGTTCCTTCCTACTAACTTATGTATGATTGAACGACATTTTTCTTTAAATGCTTATTGTGCATGTGTGGCCATTGAAGGAGTTTATCTCCCCGTACTTCATGACTATCACAAGTTTGCACATATTTAGTCTAAGCTAGACCTCACTTGGATATATATATGCACACACACAAAACAATAACAAAAACAATAAATAATAATTTTGATACAATCTTGTTGCTTAGAACTCATGCTAAAGGAGAAGGATGAAATTCTTTTTACTATTATTTGTTGAATGTTGTGGAGAGTCAAGGATGTGGAAATATTTCAACTAGTTTTTTTCCATTTGTTATTTTTTTATTTTATTTTTATTCACATTTGGATACATGAAAATACCATTAAATCAATCATACTAAAAAAATAAAATGTGTAGTTCAAATTTGAGAAAAAAATTGCTCATATATCATCCTCGTGTCATTCTCTCGAGTAGAGATACATATTGTGTTCTTTTTTATATGGTCCTAAAAAAATTATACGCTAAGTTTTGAGAATATAAAATAGTTAACAACTATTTAAATATTTAAGTATGTTTTTATGATTTAAATATGTTATGAAACATGTCCTAACTCCTAAGTAAGAAGATGAAGAAAAAAAGTTCGAGTAGAGATACATATTGTGTTCTTTTTTATATGGTCCTAAAAAAATTATACGCTAAGTTTTGAGAATATAAAATAGTTAACAACTATTTAAATATTTAAGTATGTTTTTATGATTTAAATATGTTATGAAACATGTCCTAACTCCTAAGTAAGAAGATGAAGAAAAAAAGTTTTCAATTTTCTAAACCATAATTTTTTTTAACTAATTTTATAATTAAAAATTTGTCCGCAAACAATCATAAAAACTAATTTCTCATCAATTTTTTTACTTTTCGTGAAAGAAAATAGTGAGTATAGGTCCTATCCTAATAAGCTTTTGTATAAATACTTTTTAAAAGAGAAAAATAAAAAAAAATCGACATAATTTTTTTTTATATAAAATGGTTAATGACTTTATTTAAAGATTTTGAATGTTTTTATGATTTAAATATGACATGGAGTATGTCCTAACTCTGAGTAAGAAGATGAAAAAAAAATGTTTTTCAACTTTTTAAATCATTAAAAAAATTTGTTTTAAACTACTCTTGCAATTAAAAATTTGTCCAAAAACATTTATAAAAATTAATTTTTCTTCTAATTTTTTACTTTTTGTGCAAGAAAACAATAAATATAGGTCCTATCCTAATAAATTTCTTTATAAGTATTTTTTAAAAGAGAAAAATAAAAAATATTGATAAAAGTTTTTATATAAACTAAAACCAGCTCATACATAACAGTTATATCTTAAAAATAAAATTTTAAAAAAATTAATAAGAGAAAACTTATATAAATAAATTTATACAAAAACGTAATTTAACTTATAAAAAAATTTAATTTTATTTAATTTTTACTTTTTAGAAGATTTTGTTAAAATTTTATCAAAACAAATTCATAAAAAATTTTATGCATGCATAAAAGATAATACATTTTATTTATAATCATACAATTGATTAAAAATATATAATTTGAATTTTCAAATCATAGAATATATATTACTGCTATCAATTAATTTAAATCAAAATATATACTTATATTATTTTTAAATGTTTGAATCATAAAAATCAGGTCATAATTCCCTTAGCTACTATATTATTTATTATATAATATTAATTCAAATATATATATATATATATATTATCAATTAATTAAAAATTAATATTATCAATTAATTTTAAAAAAATATTTATATTATTAGTTTGAATGTTTCAAATCATATAAATAATATAATATTTTTAATTACTATAATTATTTATTTATAAATTAAAAATAAAATAAAATTTCAACAAGAGTTATAGAAAAGAAACAAATACGGTTATTCAATGAATGTGGTAAAAACAAGACTTCTTTTATAGATAATAGATAGATTTAGAATATATATATTTTATTGATGCAAGAAATAAAGAAAATAAATTATTGTGATCCAACGGTTCTAAAGAAGAAGAAGGAGACGGCAATTAAGGAAGGGACCGTTGTTATTGATTAAAAAATCCAAATTGGTTTTATCTCTTTGCTGAGACGGTGTACAAGTATAAATATGTATCCCAATTCCCAACTTCAATTGAATTTATTATCTCGTACAAAATCTGATTCAGATTTCTTTTTTATTATTCTCTGTTTTCTCTTTAAAATTAAAAATAAAAAAAGCACGCTCAAAAATACCCAAAAAAGCGCGCGAACTCTCCCGCGCGTCTCCTTTATATTTGCCTCACACATCCCAAATCACACCCTCTCTTTTCCTCTCTTCTCTCACACCACTATGCACCACCCTCCCGCGCTCCCGGCCCCGTCCGCCGGAGATGCCGCCAAGCACGGCAAGAAGCGGGGCAGTTACAACTGCGGCCGCTGCGGCCTCCCCAAGAAGGGCCACACCTGCACCATCAAAACCCCCGCCTCCGCCTCCACCCCCGCCCCTCCCGACTCCTCCCTCTCCGTAGTCTCCGCCCCCTCCTCTGCTCTCCGCCAGCCTCCCTCCAACCTCCGCCGTGCCCTCTCCTTTGACGATCTTGATGACCGCCCCGATCTGCCCCAACCGGACGATAAAGCGGATGCGGATTTGTTTTTCGAGACCGAACCGGATCTGGATCTGGACGTGGGCTCCTGCGGCCTGCCGGCGTGCCTTCTTTGGGAGGTCATGCGCCGGCTGCCGCCCACGGGGCTGCTCTCCGCCGCCAGGGTGTGCAAGGGATGGAGGGACACGGCCAAGAGGCTTTGGAGGGCCGCGGAGGAGTTGAAGCTTAGGGTTCCGGTTAACGTTCCGGTCGGGTTTGTTGCCTCCATGTTGCAGAAGTGCCCTGGGATTGTGAGACTCTCGCTTAGGATGGAAAGGTGGGATCTTTAACCGTGACCTGTGGATTTAATAAAACCGATTGTTTGTAAATTGTTTTCGTGCTTTAATTTTAATACCGATTGCTTTAATAATACGATTTGTTTTTGCAGTGATTTCGATTCGACGATGCTGGCTTGTGTTGCCTTTTCGTGCCCTAATCTTGAGTGTATGGAGATCTTGACTTTTAATTCTGCAACCATTCGAATCAATGGGTATTACTTCTCATCTTTTTGATTTTTGGACATTTTTTGTTGTTTGTGTAGAATATGTTTTTATTTTGTTGAGCTTCTGGTTATCTAATTTGGAATGGTACGATTTTTTATGCAATGTAGATGTTGGTCGTCTTATGCCAGCTGTGATTTAATGATTCCAACTAGTGTTTCAGAATTTAGGTTGTGTTTGATAATTGACATTGTTCTATGGTGGTGAATGTGTGGGTGTTATTATCCTATTGTACTGTATTTTGATGAGGTCTTGATAGCGCACATTGTGATGGGATAGATTGTAACTCTGCCTTTAGTGGCATGGGTGTAGCATTGTTTTGTTCCATTGCAGCTTTATGTTTCAGAAGTAGGTTTTGATCTCCTTTTTGGTAAATTTGATTAATATAATTTGCAATGATTTCTTCTAGATTAGGTGAAAGTCTCTGTTTTGTGATTTATGTTCCATCCCTTGTGTTCGAAACTTGTATCCAACAATAGCTAATATTTGCATATGCAAGTTTAACTAATGAATGCCGCCTTTTGCTGATCAGTTTTATTTGTTTTTCAATTATGAAAATGCAGGGATGAATTAGGCCGTTTTGTTGCTGATAAAAGAAGCCTCAAAAGCCTTAAGATGGAAGGTTGTTCTAACTTGGGGGCTTTTGTTCTCTCTTCGTCTAGTCTTTCTACACTCTGGCTATCAGATCTGCATTCTCTCTCTAAGATGGTAATTACTGTCTTATCTTTTTCCTATGTTATTATGTGATATTATTGATTGCTAAATTGATAGTCCCCGAGCTTGCATTCTGTGCAAAATTTATTTGCTAACAGATGCTTGAAATTGTAGGTATTTAATTGTCCCCAGTTGAAAGAGATATCCTTGGAGTTTTCCTGTCAAGAAAATGATAGTACGGATCTCACAACTATGATTGAAGGTCTGGGAAGAAGTTGTCCTAGATTGCAAAAGATACATATAGCTTCAATGCGCCTTTCTCATGCCTCTGTACTTGCTCTTACAGCTGCTCAGTTGAGGTTTGTCATTTGTCCTTGGCATATTGTTCTCAAATTTTTTCAGTGGTTTCATGTTGAAATTTCTTCTATAGAAATGAAAGTTTGCAATCTGACAGTGCCTTAGAACTTTGTTCCTGCATGAGTTCATTGTTCATTATGTCCGGTGAATGCACCAAATATTTTATAACACCAAATCTCCAATTTTCAACTGCATGTCAAACAGGCTGCAAAAGAAACGAAATTAAGCAAATAACATGACAACCCTTGCATGCACACAGATGTACATATAATTGGGCAACAATCAAATCTTATTATTTTATTCTATTCCCAGCTTTAATATTGTTTATTTTAAATCCTACCGCGATGCCTTTTATATATATCATTTATTTAATTTCAACTTCATTTGATGAGCTTACTAAAGTTTTTTTTAAATACAATTAAGGGGGCTGCGAATGCTTTCTCTTGTTCTCGGATCTGAAATCACTGATGCATCTGTTGCTTCAATTGCCTCAAGTTATCCAAACCTTGAATTGCTTGATCTTAGTGGGTATGTATCTCCCCATTCCTAATAGCAAACAATATTGTTTATTTCTAAGTGTGCATTCATTTTCTTAATTTTGTTGTTTATCTCTTTTAGTAATGATGTATAATGGACACAATTTTGTCACAGATCTGGTGTAACTGACAATGGTCTAGGAATGATTTGCAATGCGTTATCTGAAACACTGTCAAGACTGCTTCTTGCTCTTTGTCCTAACGTGACTTCAAGTAATTGTCTATCACGTATTCAGTTACCCCACAAAACTTTCATGCTGGCTTAAGCTTCTGCTTTCTAATATGCTGTTATGTGATTCAGGTGGTATTCAATTTGCTACATTTCAGTTGCCGCAACTTGAAATTATGGACTGTGGCATGACCATATGTGATCCCAATTTGCAAAATCCAATTGCTGATGGAAACAACGACAAAGGACAGAAAATGTCCGACACTAATCAACACCTTATAAGCCAAAAGCTAATCATCAAACACAGCCATTTAAAAAAACTCAGTTTATGGGGTTGCAGCGGCTTAGATGTAAGTTTCATTAGACTAAATGAACTTTGTGTTATATTTGCAAAGCTTCTAATCTTTTTTATTTTGGTTTTGATTAATATGCAGGCCCTATACTTAAGCTGCTCACAACTCGAGGATCTGAATCTAAATTCTTGTAGTAATTTGCATCCAGGTAGTCATTTCATCAACTTATTTAGTAATATTATCATGTGAAAATTTAATTCAATACATCAATATTTTCTTCAAAATAGTAAGATTTTGATTATTTTCATTTGATGAATTGGTTCAGATCAACTGATGCTCCAGTGCCCCAATTTGAAAAATGTGCACGCATCAGGTTGTGAAGATATGTTAATACGGACCATCCAAAGTCAGGTAACAATTCTCATATAATTTCTTCCATAATAAATTAATGTGGTTTTTGAGATGTGAGCTTATTGAATTGATTTTGAATATGGAGCTTTAGATACTAAAGCTTTGTTCTTAATTTGTATGCAGGTCCGCGATACTTCTGCTGCCATAGAAAACCATTCACCTTCTTCTAAACGTCTACCTGATGGCTCCAAAAGGATTAGGGTTACTCCATTACTCAACGATGAAGTAATATAATACCTCTTTTTGGCTTATATAAAATAATAATTTTTTAACATTTACAACTAGCACAGTTTTCTTAACTCGTGCAAATGTTTTGCTTTATTCTATCAATCATTTTTATTTTGTTTTGATTATTTGCAGGCTCCTCCTGAACCTGAAACAAAACGCAGGAAGATCGACAGACAAATTTGTAATGTGCTTCTGAATTGATAATGTATATGTACGACGTCGTACGTTATTTAAATTCTAAATGCATTATGCCATCTTTAGTTACTGAACAGGTCATAGTTTTTCAAGTTAGGATCTCATATTGGGCCCTATAACTAGCTTTTTATCAGACAGGTGTTCATGTTTAGAATATTATTGTTGTATGATATTTGGATGACTATTTTATTTTTAATAAAAATTAATATTTTCAATTTCTCCAAGTCATTCATTAGGTGCTGATGTGATGGGACAGCCTATAAATTGTATTATTCGTGATATACTATAGTTCCGTTTATATTATATTCATCTTGCATTATTCAATCAGTAGAAATAATCCGCAAAGGAATATTGCTGCTGATAATTTACATGGTTTTGTTGGGCTCATTGTGATTACTTGTAGGATAAGGCATAAGGTTAGAAATAAGGCAAGAAATACAATTTATACTTGCATCATACAACAATAACAAATTTCGGATCTAAAACTTATTTTAAAATAAGGAAAAATCTCATAGTTTTCTCAGATTTGTCACGGACATACTAAGCTATAGTTTCTAGAATTCTTAACTCTGATCATTTCAAACTCTCTGTCTCTGCGAGCAATTTTTTTTACATGGTTAGATTTTTGGCAATATGATTAAGGTACAAATTTTTCTTTGCTTGAGGAACTTTCATCTTTCCCGTTCATGTCTGTTGAAGATTGTGGATTTTAGAAATGCCTTCTATTGTTTTATTTGAAAAGTATCTTTAATAATGCCACTCATCATTATAACTAGGGGTGTCCAAATTGATAAATTGAACTAAATTAAAAGAAAACTAAACTAAATTATAATAAATAGTTCAAAAAACTAAATTGAACTAAAAGAAATTTTGATTAAACTCTCTAGGAGTTTGAATTAAACTATAATATCAACTAAATTAAAATATTATTAACTATAAACTAAATTGAACTACATTAAAAAAACAATTTTAAAATCAACATTTTTAAATTGAGTTATCAAATCATTGATATTAATTATGAATTAAATTTTAAATAGTTTGAAATGTAAAACAAGTATAATATTGATAAAAGTCTACATAATAGATTTTTCATTCATATTTTTTGATCAAATCTTATTAATTTTTAATCAATTTACTGATCTTATTAATTATTAAATAAAATTTTTTGGGTGGGGAGGGGTTGGGATAGTTAGAAGTATGAAGATCCAGGTTCAATCTTCACTGCAACTATCTTTGTAATCTTTCCTATCTTTACCAATAAATAAAAAACTTTAAAAATAATATCTAAATATTACATGTAACTATTTTTTTAAGTTAATACGGTCTTTACAAAATAGTATGAATTTTAAAAAATATTATAAGAATGTATACCGTTACTTTTATAATGTTGTAAACTCAATTGTTAAACTCAATTAAATTATATTATAATTTTTTTATTAAAATAATAATATTTTTTAGCATCAAAAATAAAATTATTTGGATAATAAAGAGATAAGTTTGTACATACATATATAATACATTTTTTTTAATTTTTATAATAATTATATTAAAAATATTGAAAGAGTAATAATTACAAAAGGTATATAATTTTATTCAATTAATAAATAAAAATTAATTTTTTCTTTTGATCCTGTAAATTAATAAAAAAAATGTGTAGTTGTGCATAATAACACTAAACCACTAGTATACTGACTTAAAAGTGAGCAATAGGCAAAATTGAAAAGTTACGAAAAAGGTATTAATAATAAGAATTTAGTTTTATTAATAGTTTAGTTTAACAAATTACTAATTAGAAAATAACTTTAGATTACTGAGTATAAAATTCATTTTAGTTCAATTTTTATAAAAATAATTTAGTTTTTTATTTTAATTAAATTTAATTATTTATTAGTTTAGTTCTAATTAATTATTTAGAACATTTCTTAATTATAAGTTTTTTTAATAGTTAAAGTGTACTAAACTACTTTTTATAATAGTTTAGTTTTTAAAACTAAACTTCAAATATAGTTTAGTTTAGTTTTTATAAAAAGTTTAGTTTTTTTATAGTTTAGTTTAGTTTAATTTTTACAATTGTTTAGTTTAATATATTTTTTTGAACACCCCTAATTATAACTGACTTAATGGTTAATGGATAAGGATTAGATAATTTATACTTGATGTTAATATTTGATATTATTATTATTGTAATTTTAATAGATAAAAAAATAGTTATTACTTATTAAATTCTTTTCCTCTAATAGCAGAAGTTTGTTGATTAATGTGATTGTGAAGGTGGATAACTTTAGAGGTCACAAGATATCATAATCTGAGATGTTAAAAAAAAACACTTTATCTTGATAGTTTAAATGTTGGTCTTTACTATCAAGCATTTTAATTACATATAAAAAATTGTTTGAAATAGACATGTTTGACCCGAAGAAGCAAGCTCTCCACATATATATTATAAAACTTAATTGAAAGATTAAAATTAAAAAATAAAATTATTATTAAAATTCATAAAGGAAAATAATTATGATAAAATGTTAAAATTTAATTTAAAAATAAAACATAGATAGAAAGATATAAGAGATCAACTAATGATATTCTCGTGAAAGAAAATAGTTAAAAATATACTTATTAAAAAATGATTTCTAAAAATATTTTTGTTTAAGATAGTTATTTTAATTTTGTTATATCTATACTCGTATATAAATGAAATATTACTTTCCTTTTAATCTCAACTTTTTTTTTGTTGTTGAAATTATTATGCCCTTAAATAATAATACAAGTGTAACAAACTTTTTCTCTCTCTTCTAATAATACAATTATTTTTATGATAATGAAAACCCTAAATCTCAACCTTTAATTTAAAATAAATAATTTAAATTAGAAAATTATAATGCGTACCAATTAATTTTGATTTGTTTGATTTAGATTAAACTTACAATTTTTTTTCTTGTAATCTGCACCAAATGAAGCTGATTAACAATAAGTTAGTAGTTAAGTTTGAATTTATTGATTTTCTTAAACTATTCTATTTGAATATAAAATAGTTAAACGTAGTAGAATAATGAGTATTGGGTGAGCTAGTGTCAATGAGTGAGAGGAGGGGTGCTTTGTGTTTGAAAAAAAATAAATATTAATTACTTATTTTTCATTTATACCCTTAATAAGTATTATTTAAAAAATGGTTACTGTATTACATCGTTTCTAGTAAAGCAACTTAATCTTATTATAAAGTGAAGAGAATATGTAATTTCTGGTAGTGCAAGACTAAGTATCATAGCTGAGTGAAAAAATGTTAAATGAGTTTTGTTAATGTTTTACTAATCAATAATACACCCTCCATTCCATATTATTATAAGAAAAAACCTTTCACTCTTTGTTATAATAAGAAAAAAAATTTATATATATATCAAAAAAATTAGTTATCCACATTAAATTTTTTTAATATTATAATATTCTTTTTAAATTATCTTTGTAATAATGACAGCCGAAAGATCATATTAAAGAAAAGATATTTTAAAAAATTATGAGATAAAAATAGTAAAAATTAATTTATATTTTAAAAAAAATATTTATTTTATTTTATTTTTTATAATACACAATCAATAATGAACTACTCATCACGTAGCAAATGCAATTACGAAGAGAGTTCACTCTTAATTGTTGCTGAAAATTAAAAAGCGGTTGAGGATCCATTATGTTAAGGGTGTATTGAATTCATATTCTAAAAGTTCATTTTGTCTTGAAAAAGTATTATAGTATTCTATCATGATTTTTTTTAATAATATAAATAAGTGTCTTAAAGTTACAATACAATACATCCCTCAATTAGTTTAAAATTGAGAATCAGAATAGGAATACTGCTCCCTTTTAAGGTTCACGTTTCATTTGTTATTATCCCATGACCTTGATTTTCACTTAAACTGCATTTTGGAATTTTCTTTGTTCTTCCATCCCTTTTTAGCAATTTTTATAATGATTATTTTGAATTTAACGAGAAATACGAATATGGTACAAAGTTCTATCCGATTGTAACTCCTCATTTTGCATAATAGCGTTAGGGATGGGTAGATAGACCTGAGTCTGCGGACCGGTTCGTAAGTATGTAGATTTCGTGGATAACGAGTCCCTTTTTTTAAATCCGTATGATTATATCTATTTTTTGAGCTTGGCCCGTGAAGTCTGCGGACTTGCCGAATTTAATCTGCGGGTTAGTCCTCGGACTTCACTAATTAATATTTTTAAATATTATGATTTTAATATTAAGTTGTTTATTTAATTTTTTAAATTATAATGATATTAAAATTATGTTTAGTTGGTATGTATTTGTCAATTGAATTACTTTTATGACATTTTGATGTTTTTATTATTGAAAGTTTGGTACTATTATTTAAGTATTTGTAATTATTTTTATTTTAATATTTAATATTTTAAACTATTTTAACTATAGATAAATTTTAGTATGATAAAATTTAGCTTATAAATAAAAAATATATATTTTTCTTCTAATTTTATGTATTTTTTATTTTTTAAAAATATATTTTTTTGAACCATTATTTAGGCTCTTGAACCAGTCCATTATCAGCGAATTTTGGCGGGCCGGATACGGACTTAAAAAATAAGTCCATTTATTTTACGGACCAGATTTATCCGACCAACATAAAATGCAGGTTTTATAAACCGAACCTTAAACGGGCCAGACCGGTCCGTATACCCACCACTAAATAGCATGAGGGTACTTTTTTTATTTATATTTTTACTGGTATTTCTCCATGGTTACTTAGAAACTTCAGAATTGGCTCAATAGTGTTTTTTTTGAATCTCAAGTCATACTGATTACTTTTTGTGGCTGAATTTTGCGTGTTAAAAGGTAATATGCAGGGGGAGAAGGCATCTGCATTTAGGTGAAGCAAGTTAATTGTTGGGGCAGTTTATGCCACTATTTGACCATGCTTTTGTTGATATAGTGGAAGATGATATGCCAACATTCAGCTCTTATATTTACACTGTGACGTGACTCAACTCTCACTAGCTTCGGAATTTGTAAACACTTAGCAGAATCTGTATTGTGTACTTGCGCAAAGTAATCATGAAAATTTTGGATGAGACTGCACTTAGCAAATGTGTGAAAAGTAAGATGTCTACAAAATGGGTTAATTTCTTATTAAAATATATTCTTAAATATTATATATAATTTATGTTGTTAATTTTTTTAATAATATTTTTATATAATTAGATAATAT